CGCTTTTCACAGAAAAAGGCTAATTATGGATCTGTCTTCTATATCTTCCCGTCGTAAGTGCATTGTCCGTGCAAAAACGTTACTTCAAAGGATACGAAGTGTTTCTGGTTTATATTACCATGGCGTACGAACATCCAGCCATTTTAAACAACGAGCTTATATATAACTCACGCAGATAAAACTAAATGTTCAAAAATAACCGAAACAGCGTCAGCGGAAATATAGCTATAGCTTTAGGCCATTTCCTCTTTTGCATATGCGGTCTTTATAAGGTAAAGATCTGATTTAATCTTGAGTCCAGATGATGTCATATATCAAAGGGACATTGCCTCTGGCGATCCGGATGCGCGTACATACACAATTTCATCCACCTTTATATAGACAAGTACGTACATATAAGGCCATGCTGATTTGATTATATGGATGACATCCTCTGGGAACCCCAAAACTGATGCGAGCGTGCGAATAAAAAAAATGTTTGGCAAAAAAAGTTTGCTTTCATTATGAAATCTACGTGGTCATAAAGGTTGGACAAATGACACAGAGTATGGTATGGCAAATAATCTACTGTTCAAATTCATTTCTTTACATTTCGTCTTTTTCGTTTGATTTGGCTTTCTACGACATTGGTATCGTGTTCCAATATTTTTTTGTGCAACTTACGGTATATATTTGCTCATTTTGCAACTGTTTTGTACCATTTACAATATGGTTGAAAACTTTTTTGGAAACTGCCGAAAATTTATGCGCGCGCGGATGCCATCCATATAATCAAATCAACATGGCCTAATTAATTTGTGTTAACTTGCCGCCAAATGACCGCTTTTACACTCGCTAAAACCTTTCTAAAGCCGCTGCAAATTTTGGAATTACTCCAACTTGCAGAGATACAGTCGGTTCAGTAGGCTAAGTACAATTTAACGGCGCAACGATCTATCACAAAGGCGCAGCAACTTCTATAAGCCCAGGCCTAATGCCGCCAACTGTCAATTTGTCTCAGGGACGGTTACAGTTTGAAATTAGGCTAAAAGGGATAACGAAGCTGCCAAGCTGTTTGGAAAACGACTTGAGAAGTTCTAATCATCTACTTCAAGTGGCAACGTGCTTCGTCTATTGTTTGATCGAGAACTAGAGTGTATAGATCGACAATAATGAACTATGGCAGCTAGTAGAGACCCGGGGAAAGAGGTGACTTCAAACGGACGAATCATTCGCCATGGTACATTCGTAAGCGGGGTAGAAAATCGGGAACTCACTGATTCAACTGAGTTATCCCATCAAGATGTTATTTCCGCATTTGTCAACAGTTGAACAGCCAGTCATCTGTAATGCACGCTAATTGCTTTTATAGGCCCCATTCCCACTAGGATAAAATTGCAAGGATCGAGCCGAATTGATTCGCTTTGATCCGGCTTCGAGCTACCCTGCAGCTGGAATCCAAACTCGCTGTCCGGGCCGCAAAAGCCCTTCGCCCGCTGGTGTAAATTACCGAGACGGGGGAATCTAGCCCGGGGGAGTTTGGCTGGCCAGCCAACTCCCCTCGGGCTCAACTCCCCGTAGCGGTAATTTAGGCAGGCGGGCGAAGGGCTCTCGGCTGCCGAAAGAAAACGGCTAACGGCCCGATACTAGTTTGGCATCCAGGGTAGCTTCGAGCTGGCTTCGATTTTACCCTAGTGGGAACGGGGCCGTAGTCTCTTTACCTGGTCTGTGTTTAGATGATGTAGTCTCCACCAGACTTCTTTGCGGGCTGAATAAACACTAGTAGTAGAAATAAGAAGAATGTAACTGGCCAAGGGAGTTAGCCGGCCATAGAGGGTTCAGTTTGCACTGCAGGCAAATTTTTAGACCGATTTCTACTATTTATCAAGCCTGCAAAGGAGTCTAGTTGAGACTGCGTATTGTCTGAACACAGGCCAGGTGAAGAGACTATAAATGATGAATCTTTATTTCATGGTGGAGACTAAGACGATGCATGATAATGTATTTAATCACAATGGTACGGAAGTAGGAAAATACTTGGTCGTTAGAAGGCATCAAGGCAGTGAAAAACAACGCGCTTGTATCGTTCTTTGGCGATGAGATGTGTTTTAAGTGTTCTGTTTTTCTACTTCTCTATTCTAACTCCCTGCATCGCTCTGTCTCATCGAGTCCCATCCCTCTTTCTCTTGACATTTGTACGACTGCAATTAGACGTAAATGTGGACACGAAGAATGCTTCCTTGGTTTTTGCTTTTGAGTGGTTTATGTCCGGCACTCGTATCACATGCCCCAAAACTCACGTAGACCTGGCATGCGTCATTAAAACCTATGATTGCTGCCCCTTGAGGTATATAAATGCATAATAGGCCGCCTGGAGAATTCACGTGGCTGTCCATGGTGCTGATTTAGTGGTTATTCAATTCAAAGAAAACGTTCCAACTATCGAGAAGGTATTTGACATATTCATCCAAATCCTGGAACAAAAGACAGACGAGGCAAGTCCTTGCGTTCTAGAAATGCTTCAGTAGGGCTAAAACTAAAACTAAAAACCTCCTATTTCAGGCCCTTGTTGTGCTTTATCATAAAGCACGAAGAATGAAATCCTATCCGTTTTAAAGATATCCAATGCAATTTCAGGGCGGGAATCCCCCCCCCCAAAAAAAAATCTGGTAGCCTCTACCAGGCACCGCGGATCGCTGGAAAAATAGTACAAATTGGCCGAAATAATCGCAAATTGGAGCTTCTATGGCCCTGGATCTTCTCTGGTATACTATCTCTTTATTTCGGCCAATTTCTACTATTTTTCCAGCGATTCGCGGTGCCTGGTAGAGGCTAGAAATCTGGCTGATATCGACGTAAATTTACTGCCTTTTTCCGTCAGCAACAATCCATTCTTGCATAACAGATATCAGTATGCTATGGGTAGGATTGATTCAACTTACTATACATTGAAAGAATGACCAGAAAATTGACTTTGGAAATCCCTTCTAAGGCCATGTTGATTTGATTATATGGAGATGCCCTTCCCCATAAATTTACATCGATCGCTTCAGCCCCTAATGAGAGCTCCAATATATACCTACTAGACATATCATCTACCCCAGCACGACTCCTGTGGAGTCTACGGCTCAAACAACCCAGTCAAAATAGCTCAATTATTACCTTCTCTGTTGGAGGCAGGCTCGTTGAAAATGGGCATGCTGTGACAACGAAATGGCTGCTGAGTACGAGCTATTCTGGTCTCCAAGCAGATATACGGAAAGTTGAGAAACTGACGACGTTAAAGGCATCCGATGCAGTTTTTAGGCATTGGAAACCAGATTTTTCAAAGCCAAAATTCTAGTCACTTATCTACATACTAAGTTGAAACAACACTGTCCCAATGTATATCAACATTCATGGAGCAAAAGTGCCCAAAATCCTGACGAAAAACGGTTGCTGGAAGGACCTGGATTGATTTTTAGGGTGCCACCTTGAAGCTTTATTTATTTATTGCTCTTAAAACAGTTGGGTGGTACCTTCAGTCTCTGAAAGACTGATTTCCAAGGTAGCCCAACAGAACATACACATTGGACAACATGGAATACAATAAGATTAAACAAAATAAAACAGATTAATCAAATGATCAATCGTGGCAAATGACAATAAATAATATAAACAGAGGGTACAAATAATCAATCATACAAACACAAAGGAACAACTTGTTTCTGCAGTTTTAAATGCCTGAAGTATGAAATACTGTTTCAAATGTGCTCATGTGGTACCGTATGCCTTACTCAGGATACTCCAAGTTTTGCCGCCCTGAACTTGCATGGGATGCCTTTAACTCTACGGTGGTCAGATCTCCGCGGGCGGTCGTAACCGAAGTTGACGCTTGTGATGTGCCGTGATGAGATGGCCGACTACCAGAGGGCAAAGGAGTAACCTTCACAGATTCAGAAGTAATTGATTGAGGAGGACGTTGGCCTACAAAATGGAAATCTGTCAGCTGTCGTGCCATGGTATCACCGTCATGGGTGAACTGAGATGCCCGATTTTGGCATTCATCTTTAAATGATACCTGTGTTTTTCTCCAAACAAAACGTGAAGACCTTTTATCCTAGGCAGAAAATTCATGACTTTGAAAACACAATGCTGCAAAGTACGTACAAAAACAAACCGTGCATCTGCTTAAAGATTTCTCTTTATTTCCCCATTCTGGGCACTTTGAGACAAAACAGCAGCAGTAGCTGTTCTAAAAGGACATTTTTTTCCCACGCGCATATAATGTATGGCAAAATCAATGAATACACATTGAGTCTACCATTCCAGTAGCCATCAAATATGATGTATTTTCTATGGCGAGGCCTCGACTGTATTCATAAACCGTCTTCATTTCAGTATTTGTATGCATGGTCAGTCGGCAGTTATGTTTTGACATTAAGATTGCCCATGGGGCGGTATTTTCCCAACAAGTGCTCACGCATTTGAACACTGGATATAGAGAATCTCCACGGGTCAACAACAGAGAGCCCAGTCATTGACCCAACATATTACGAGGCGAATATTCAATGAAATCTTGAAGTGAAGATTGATTTGGCCTTACTGTGGGGTGCTGATGGGCTTTTCCTTCCTCCTCCTTTCTTCTAGAATAGTTTTTTTTCTTGTGGAAGGTTGGTTGGTCATTTGTTTTCCTTCACTCAAGGGATTGCATGTCAAGCAGGGTTCTCACCAGCATTTTTTCACAGTGTAGGGGTCAGGTACAGAATGGCAACTTTCTGCGGCACAAGCTGTGCATCCAATCCCAAAGACAAGACCACAGTAGGGGTCTGGTATTCTCCCCGAAAAATTCTAAAACTCTCTGAGACATAATTTTCTGCCTTTTGAGGGACAATTTTTGTACTCCTGTTTTCCCTCTGTTATAGCTTAATTCTGAAGTCAAATCTTAATTTTTTCAAAGATTTATGAATCCCTACGCTGATCAAAGGACAGTGCAGGGGGCTAAATCACAGCATAGGGGGTCCCAAATCACAGTATAGGGGGTCCTTACACTGAAACAGCCTGGTGAGAATCCTGATGTCAGCAACTACAACATCCTCACATCTGTTCCTGTCACAAGAAGAGACAACCACTGACAGCTCAAGTTGTTGCTCAAATTCTTTTCCAAAGTGACTTTAACTGTACATATCCACATCCATTCATGAATTACATTTGGCGTCTAACATACAAAGTGGCACCACATCGTCTTTCCGAACTGGGCGTCGCCTGCTACCACGTTAGTACTCTTGCACACTAATGCAACAACGCTTCCGAACATTTAAGTACGTGTTGACACATTTCAGCAGTCTTTCAAAGCTATTTACAAAAATAGTGGTTATGTACATACATACAGCAAAAAACGCTACAATAACTTAGAATAAGAGGACGATAAAAATTACAATTTGAAACATTCGCTGGATTGTCTGGTTCACAAAAGCTCATTTTGCCTCAAGACTAAAATGCTTTGACCTCTGATCCCCAGTCACCTTTCACCTTGGTGGTCACCTCTGACCTCCACATAGGTGACCTATGACCTTCACCTTTGATCCCAGGTGAACTTTGGCCTCTACTACGGACCAAGATTTACAAACTACATCATCATGGGGCACTAGCAACAGTCCTCATGTTGTAGTGATTTTGGCTATTCGTTCTTTTATCAATGAACGACAAGCTATCTTGGCATTGCCCAACTCCTATATATGGGAGATCTAGAGCTAATTTTTGTAGGATTCACTTTAAAATTCCCACGTTTCACTGAATTGTGAACATTTCCTCCATATCCGTGGAGGTATTCAAAACCCCTGAATATACCATCACAGCCAGTTGGACCTTTTTACATATAGTAATAAATATACTTTAGTACATGAACTGGCCACTATGCTTCAAGCCATTACCATATGGCATCAATGGTTTACAAAGTACACAAGCTTGTATGTGATAAAATTCGTCAAAGTAAAATGATAAATGCTTTCTAGCAATACAGTCATGTTTTAACACAAAAGTCAAATTTATGACTGAAACTCCTTCAAACTTAAAATAGTCTGCAATAAATAGCCACCGTTACATTTGATAAACTCTTGTTTCTTTGGAAGAATATGTAATTTCGTGATGAGTACAAAAATAGTGCCGTGAAATGTGCCTCGGAAATGTTGTTACAGCTGTACCAATTGGATTACATGGTCAAGGATTTTTCTGACAGAAAACCAATCAATCAGGAAAGAGGAAAATGTCATAAACTCAGTAAAAGGAAAATTGTACAAAGTACATGTACTAGCTCAGTATTAACAAATAAGTCCTAAAAAAAAATTTCAAAATCCCTTAAAAAGAAAACATGTAAGAAAAGAGCACAAAATGCTTTCCTTCTGTCAGAAATAAGACTATATTTGGCTGCTATGTACATGTATTCACTTGTAAGCTGTATTGGGAATTTGGAGCAAAAAGTAGAGTGTACAAAGAGCCATGTAATTCAATTGGTGTTGCTTGTCAGTTATATAAACAGTATGTAAAATGGCCATTCACAAATACTGGCGGAAACACCTGGTTAGTTCAGTTGTACTGATCCAAAATGAGAAACACATTTTTTCTTCTTTACAAAAATCTAAAATATACTCCCAAATCTCTAACATGCCTGGAGATAGGAAATATTAATAATTGCAATACTGATTTTCAAGAAGTGACTTTGTGAGACTGAGCAAATGACAAAATAGTTTTGCTGTACAGTTTTGGAAAAGACTGAATGCATTGACCATTTACTTTTAGTTCTGTATCCAAGGAGGCCTTGGATTGGGGGAGGGGGGCTCTTGTATGTATTGTTGAAAGCATAACTTTTGCTGGTGAGCTGGTTTGCCATATTTTGCAATAAATATTATTTTTGTACATTTTTCTTCGTCTGAGAAATCCTGTCTCTGCCCATGAAAACCCTACAAACCCTTTTTTATGTCTTACTTTTTGAAACAGATATGTTCTGGTCAACCATAAGATCCTATAGTAAGAAAATCCCTGGTCTTATAAAACTGCTAACAACTACAACAACGCTACCTGCCAACTGCTGCAGGAACTGCATGCTGCTTTAACGGACTGTAGTATCTATCAGTTACAAGGACCATAAAAAGTTGTAAGAGTTTTTTTCCTGCTCTACTTCTATACAGAGACTTCGTAGTTGGGGCTGCTGTAGGCGCCCCTGGGGATGACAGGACTTCCGTTGGTGTAGCTCCCTTTTCTCCTTTCTGAACTGTGTTCCCTGTCAACAACAAAAACACAAATTGTTCTAAATAACATGCACATAAACAGGTTGTGTGATTAAGCTGTATTTCATGATACTTGTGCGATGGAGTAAAATTTTCCCCTTTTAAATTGGTTTTGAAAGCTGAACAAATGAGAATGGGTCAGTTTTCCCAAGACACAACTATCATGAAATATGATCCTATTCTTAGTAGCCACATCACCCATCTGTTGCCATGGCAACAGCATCATTAATCGACCAATCAGAGCTTCACCCAACACCATTGCTCCATGCCTGGTTAGCCAGCAGGCATAAGACTACCAAGAGAGTACAACACTACAGGTGTACTGTACCCCTCTTCTAACTGCGTTAGATAGTAAATTTCTTGCTTGCAAAATCAAAATCATAGTTGATTATATATACTGAAATAAAATAGATTGTTTTTGACTTATAGCATCTCACCACAACTTTGAAAATGCCACCGCATCAAAACCAAAATTATACAATTGTAAGTCACCATAGTCTGTCCAACATAGGGCTTTGAGGTAGCAAAAATATCAGTACTGGGTTGAGTGAGCTGAAAAAATGATGAGGATCAATGTGAGCCTGGTAAATGCATTATCTACAGAGCAGTGACTGCAGGACGGCATATCCCCTGTACCACAGTGCAATGCTGCCACCTGTCACCTCATGCAAGAACTGCACCCAAGAGTTGACCCCATCGTCTCACATATGCTACAACACTGTCTCTTCCATGTCACTGTCAGTGGTGTGCAGTTCCGCTTCTGAATCTTCCTCACTAGATGGAACTTTGGTCCCTGGAATGTAGTCAGGGCCCTTCCACTTATGTTTAGGACTGGTGAGATGAAGTTTGGAAATGTGTTTACATTTAGTAGTGCAATCATAAACATCCCTCTCATCATTTGGTAAAATGGACATGGTTGTGATAGGATGATTGAATGATGTTCACCTCATCTGACGCTAAAATATATGTGTTTGAGTATACAGTCTTTGTATTTAGCCTAACAAGTATTAGATAATGATGCAAGACAAGAAACTTAAACTTGAAGGGTTAACTTAAAGGCATCCAATGCAATTTCAGGGCGGCAAATCAAAAATAATATGAAACCTGTCTGGGATAGGCTGATTAAAAAAAAATGACCAGGAAATTGAAAATCCAGTTTTGAAATCACTTTGGGTGCCTTTACAATGAAATTACAATTCATGTAAATGACATGAGTGGGATATAGAATTCTCTCTCCAACATGAAAGCAATCATGAGTGGTTTGATGAAAGAACGAATGTGTCAGTTTCAAAATATTGTACAATCTAGAAGAAATTCATTTTTTACCCACCTTTGTTTACCAGGCGTCCTCCGTGAACTCTGACCTTGTGGGATGTCCGTCATTTCTACTGACCCTGAGAGGTTAAAGGTCGTGACCGACCTGCTACTTTGTGGAGACTTGCCGTAATCCCTGCTGCCCTCCCGACTCCGCGCCGTCGCTGTGAGATAAACAACAAACAACAACATGTAACTCCTGTCTCCTGCTGTTATCTGTGTCATTGGTTGTCTGTGAATAGTTTCATCAGGTTGGTAAGACACTGAGAAAAGAGACTCTTTTTACACAACCAAGTCTTTCCCTTTCCGTGTAATCATGCATATGTGTAGATATGTAAATATTGTACGTTTTGGAATGCATCTATAGCAGCGACACCTGTGCTGCAGTGCAATGTGAACCAGTCAGAATTGCTCTGAGGAAGGTGACAGATGGTCACCGAAACATCGGCTGAATAAAAGACTAAGTCTTGGTTGTGTAAAAAGAGTCTCTTTACTCAGTGTCATTGGTTTCTTTTTCCTCATTCTGAAAGTTACCAGGACAGGGATCAGTGTTCTAACCAGCGTCCGTTTTTGATGGAATTTTGCCACTCACTGCAGACAAAATTTTTGCCGAATCCGTCATCTTTGACAGACAAAAATTGGTGTGTTAAATATAGAAAGAGATGTCATTAAACTAAGCTTAGTCTACCAGCAGAATTTGCCACTCAAAATGCAGGAAATAGTGTTTCAGGGGGTTATGGGTTTAAAAATTTCCGGGGAAGCATGTCCCTTTGAATTGTAGCATGGCTGTTCGACATGTTACATCAAATAAAATTGAGATGATGGAAAAAAAATTCAGGCTGGCTAGAACACTGCTACAGAGAAACATTTTCTTAAAAAGATCTCTATCTTAAATGCCCAAATTATCAATTCCATCCTTCTTGTCCTTTGCTATTACCACATTAGATTGTCCCACAACATGAAAAAGAAAACAAATAAACAAAAAGTTTTTTTTTTAAAGAAACATTACAAATTTGTTATATTTTTACTGGATGCATTAGGATTTATTATGGACATATGATACAGGACAATTTTCGAAATCAAATAAATGCCTCATAATACAACATGCATATTCAAGGGGTATCATAAAATATTCCATTATGTTATGATTTGAGTCAGAAAAAATAGAAGGGAGTTGCTTTCCAAGGGAACCTAGAAAATACTGAAAGATACTTTTGTATTGAAGACTGCATCATGACTGGAATGCATAGAGGGGATTCAGGACCAACTGAAATGATGCGTATCAGGCAGAGGCGCCATCGTGCAGAATGTCACTGTACTGCAGCCAACATGCAGTTATGATTGATCATATTTGTAGAACAGTAAGGGAAGAAAAGGGTCTCACCACTTTGAGTGACAAGGGATGAAGATATGATTATGTTTAGACCACAAACTGACTTTGTACAGAGGGTAGATGTGGTAAACACTTATTAATATTAACATCTGATTTGAAAAAATTGCAGGGATCACATTTCAACAGTCCCATGTTTAAAAGCTTTAACCGTGCTTTAAAGGGGGGAAATGGTGCTTCGAAACTGGTGCTTGATCATGAGAACAACAGCTTTATACACTTTTCAGTCATGGGACAAGTAGAAACACGACAACACTTACTGTGGGTGCCGGCCCCTGCTAACATTATTGCATGCCAAAGGACTTCCCTTACAAAATCAGAGTTACTGCAATACAAGACACGGAGTACAAGACAGAATCGAGACAAAAGGAAGTTTGGAGGAACAGTAAAGTCTGACGAAAGTTAAGTTCACGTACATAACAGAACGCACAGTGTACGATCTACACACTACTAATTAAATCTTCTACTACAATAAACACACACACATGTAGTTTGCCTCTAGACATACAGTACTCGGGTATTTGTTGGAAGGATAACAGTAACTGCTGCCTTCATTGTCTCCAAAATGACATTCTAGAGGTGACCCTAAGATTCAGCATCAGAAGTATTGCTGCAGTACCAAAGGGTGCTGCTAGGGGTTAAAAACAAACTATTTGTTCAATAATGGAGTTTGAAAACTTAGCGTTCTTTGTGGGGCACTGAGCTACATGTAGATGGTACGACAGATATATGACTATGCCAGAAGATGGCAGTGGATGTTTATTTTGAAAGCTTGTGGATTGTACCTTGAGGGAAGCATGACCTTTAAATGTTTTTACACCTCAGCAAAGATCAAGAGCTGTTCATCTTCATGTATCAAATTACACATAGGGTCTACCTTTAGGATACTGAAGTAACTGTTTGGCTACTGGTTCTCTACTGGTTACAAGGTTACATGTAAAACTGAATTTTCTTAGTACAATGTAGCTTAACTGTCAGAACAACAATGTCAGATACTAGAAAAACTAAGAGAAGGGGTACTCCACTCCATCCACCATGTCTTGGCAACTTAACGTCCCGAACAGTATTTTACGAACTGTTTGAAGCTGCATGTTAACAAAGACAGCAGTCACGGCAGTTATCCCTTCAACAAGCACCATGGCAGGGAAAACAGTGGAAGAGAAAAACTTGAGAACGAAGGAAAGCCAGTGAGAGAAAACGAGAGGACGGGCGGACACACGTGTAAGTACGCACATCCATCTGAGAAGTAATGAGACATACCGATGAACTGCTGAGGAAAGACGTAGACATCGTGAGGTACTGAGCAGAAAAGAGCAATGAAGAGATAGATTAAAGTGAGCGGATATGAAAAAGGTGAGATTTTACAACAAAAAAAGCAAATTGATATGCCAAATGTGTGAAACCATTCTCAGCATGTAGAGATGGGCATGGGAAGCAGTCTTAGCAGTAAAGTTGGACTACTATAATACAAAATACGGTACAGCACAAGACGCAAATATCGCAGCAGCAGTTCTTCCAGTTGCTTTTCTCCATTTTGAAAATTTGGAAAAGTCTTCAGCATCAAGCTTGTTTGGAAAAAAGGGATGTAGTCATACATTCCTTTCACAGTTTCCAATATCTCATTAATCTTAATATCTTTGCCAAAATGTATGACTTGATGTCAGTTTCAATTATACGTAATATTCTAACAAGGAATGGTTTAATGAATCTGTGTTTACAGACTACACAGTTGACTTGCTGGGTTTTGATGTGGGTTAGCAGCATGAAAGGCTTGCACATTGCAACCATGAGGATTGGAGGGTGTACATGTATAATGTCTAATGTATACATGTCTTGCGTGTTGTGACACCAACATGCAACCTGAGTGGTCCCTGCTTGATCTTCACATGTTGCGCTGTACACGGACCTTGTGGAACACACAGACTAAGCCCACCTCTATGAGTAGGTGTATGCCCCGGCCCACCTCTATGCCTTGGTGGCTTCCGCGCTTCGGACCCTACAACGCGTTCGTTACCGGGGGAACCCAGCGACCCTTCTCTCGCCGCCGCCGCTTTGTACGACGGGGACCTCTGCGGCGCCCCCGCCAGCTTGGCGTCCTGTCCATGTTTTGGCATTTCACTTTCTGGCACGTTATCGTACAGCCCGGATGCCGGCCTGGCCTGGAAGTGTTCCTGCCGCGTCGGCGTGGGTTCTCTACTGTGGTGGGGCGTGTTCGCGCGGCTGTGGTGCGGCGTTCTCTCGCGATCGTGGTCCTCCGGCTCCCGGCCTATCGACGGCGTACTCCTCTGCCGTCTCGGCCACCTCTCCTTTGCCGCTTCTTTATGCCGGCCAGCCGACATTATCCTTTCCCGCGATCCAAGCGAAGACGTGGAGGTGTTCCGGGACTTGTTGAAGTCGTCATGATCGTCGGGTCTCCTGGGCAGCCGCCGCCCCCCTCCCCGCCCCTCCCATCTGTCCAGCGACGCCAGCCGTGTGTCGCTGTGGCTCGGGTGCGGCGGTTTGTTCGGCGAGCCCAGGACGGTCTCCTGCAGCGGAGCGGCGCTCTGTGAGGTGGGGAGCGTGCGGTACGCCCGCTCCTGGGAAGTCGGGCTGTTCATCTCAAAAATAAACTTCCCATTTTGTGCTTGGTCTTTCTCTGCAACAACATGAAATTCCATTACAGTCTTAATTTCTAAGTCTGAAATTATGTAACCTCCTAACAAACATCCCTACATACTAAAAAAAAACTATTAACCTCATCTGAGAGGCTTGGCTACCATGAGGGCCCCTTCACACATACCGGTATCACAGATAGGACCAGGTCAACTGTAGGGTTCTGAAGCACGCTGGCAGAACATACTGCGCCTGCGCGAAACCCTGATTTTTCACAGTTTTCTTTAGATTCTTGGTCACTGTTGCATCAGAATTTTGTGCGATGCAGAGGACATCTTTTATGACATAACACCAAAAGTCTTAGAAACTACAGACGGAATTGTAACCTTATATACGTGAATACGACTTTATATGAGACATTCTGCCTAAGTGCTATGCACAATGCATTACGGGTTTCGCGCAGGTGCAGTACGTTCTGCCGACGTACTGGGCTCTGTAAACGTAAGGCTGGAACCTACCTTCTCTGTGAGGGAAGTCTGATCTGCCTGGGGTTGCCATAGAAACATGGTTCCCATCCTGCATGATGCTATTGCTTGTCTGAAAAAGGAACAGAGTTTAAAAATGAGGACAATCATGACTACACAGTTCCACATGCAAGTCAGATGAGCAATTACAGACGAAATTCTAAACACATGACCCTCCAGAAAAGGGTAACCAGCAACTGATTCATTAATGCCAAAATTAGGTTTGGCAATTTTGTCTTTCACTACCTGTTAGACCACGCCGATTTAATTAGTTAGTCTTTGAATTTGAAAATAATGTTGACTCTGAACAGGAATATCAAATGTGTCCCAGTATACAGAGTTTCAAGGAGAGAATGCCTTTTAGTCAGGTTCAAGTTTTCATCCAAGACTTCTGTTTTTATTTCTGTCCTCTTGCTGAAGCCTTTAAGCACAAAGAATCTGTGTGTTGTTGGGATAAAAGTTGTTACCTGTTGTTGTAGTGATGTTTTCATGAGACTTGTGTTGCCCAGACTGAGGTGTACTTCCTTCTCTGATATGACTGGGTACTGGTGGGGTCGCACGTTCACTGTCCGGGCCTTACGACCAACGTACCTGCAAACACAGCAATCTGTTTGTTGCACTTGTTGAATTTTTCATAAGGTTTAATACTTCCAAGCTAGAAACACAACATGTACACGTTTGTATGTCTTCATATCTGTTGACCAGATGACCAACAGTCATGCTTTCAAGTGCCAGAGTTATCAACGAAGGATTGAGTGTTCAAAAACTTGTTTTTCCCTAGAACTAGAGTACTGTACAGTAACTTGCTGCCACAAAGTACATGTACAGTAGGGGCATTATCACAAGATAGCTAGACTAAACAATGTTAGTGCAAAGGTTTGGTGTAACAAGTCATTCGGTGTACTATAGTCAGCTGCCACAGCGTCGTGTGCCTGTGAAGCTGGTGTGTTATGCGAGTGGCAGTTATACCGGCTGTACTTGTAGTACCTGGGATAGGTGGGCCCACACAGGGTGTGACAGATGTTCCCCCAACAGCCTCGGGAGAACGGGTTATGGCCACTACGGAACTTTCCTGTAACCTGGAAAATACAAAAACACTGGTTACCAAAGGAAATTCCCTGCTTCTCCAATTAAGTTTCATTTAGATTCTACTAGATTCTGCTTATACAATCATGTAGGCATGTCAACTAGTGAAATAGAAGTTCACTGCAAAGACAATTTGCAAAAGGTGATACATGCTACATTCAAATGTAATATTATGCTACCAAACCTACATTCATACAATCAACAGATGCTTTACCAAAAAACAGTTACTCAAGCAACTGGATATGATTTTGTAAACAGTCAGACGTTACAGGTAGCATCCACTACCTTTTGTCAGTGACACTGGAGACTTGTTAGCAAGGCAGGTTTATAAGAACAAACTATTGTTTGATGTGCAAATAAGTGAAGACAAAAAGATGTTTCAAATTGTGTGTTTGATTTGTGTAAACCTAGCAGTTTAGGTGCACTCGGTATGTGGTAGTTGTATAACAATTTGTTTGATTTTTAACACTAAGGAGAAATGTGTAGTACCTGTTCATTTGTTGTTCGTCCTCTTGATATAAGTACACAGTGGAAACCTGCCAGCCCCACCACTGGAACTACCGTCAGTCCCACCACACCCATCACTGCCATACTGTGTCAGCTCGTTAAGGAGCCACAACAGTTCTACAGTGTATTACATGTATCTACCTTCTCTTGTTGCTACACAAAACCCATTAATTACAATTGAAAAAAAAAAGTTGTAACTAGGCTTAACACACCAGTTTTGTACAGAAGATACAAACTGTGTTACTCTAAACTGTAACATTTGATCCACTCACACCGGAATAGACCCCTAGTCTTCCTGGAGTCCATAGTGAATCATCAGATAGTAGTATTTGGACCCATGCACACCGGGGCATGCCTCTACTCTTTTTCGAAAGGTGTGGTGGGTTCTTAAACGTGCGTGGGGTGTGGCTCTCCCCAAACACAGGACGTCCTATCCGAGGGACGTCCCTAACCGAAGCTAGGTACTGAGTGAAGTGAGGAAAGTTGTGTTAAGTGCCTTTCCCAAGGGCAAAAGATGGGTGACAAGGTAGGATTCGAACCCGGGACCTCTCGGTTCTGAGCTTAACCCACTACAGCTACGCCACACGACCTTACTGTCATTACTGCGTTGACTAATGCAAAAACTATCAACTAGGGAGAACAAGGACTTGTACAAAGAAGGATACGAGGCAATGACTTCCACGCTGGTGAGTTCTGTCTTGTGGTTGAGCACGTAGACCAGACTGAAGGTGAAGACTGAGAACATGTGGATGGTGAGAGATAACAGGAACTGGAAGAAGTACCTGTAGTTTCTGCGCCCCACACAGTTGTTCACCCAGGGGCAGTGGTGGTCAAAATTCTGAAACACAAAACAACACCTTAAGCTTACTGTTAAGAGAGGTCAACATGACTTGTGTAAAACTAAAGCTCAACTAGAGGGATTACAAATGTATAAGCAAGGAAGGCACCTTGGCAAAATCAGTGGTTACTAAAATCTACACAAACTACATGAATCAGGAAGGACACAAGAGTGTACATGTACAAATTGGTAAGGTCAACTTTGATACATTTTGGAGTGGTACTGGTGTGCCACTTACAACAACATCTTTTGCTGAAAATTCTTTCCAAAATAATTCTGATATTATTCATATTTTCTAAGAAGAATGGCATTGAAATTTTCTGTGTTGTCTTTACATATTATATTTTCATTTCATTTCATTATACATGTACATATTAAAAGTTGGATACGTTTCATAATCTACCTTGTAACAATATCAACATTCGATAATAATTATCAACATATGAGGTTTGACTATGAGATGCAATGTAAATGCTGACCTCTATACAGTTGTTGCAGACACTACAGTGAGAACATCTGGGGGGTCTGTAGAAGTGACACGTGGTGCACCATTTCATGCGCACCGTGATGCCCTTGATCTCCACGTTCTTGTAGAGCGGAGCACGGAAGTCGTCCTCTTTGTCTTCGTCTTCCTCCACTGAGAAGAAATTGTATTACTTTTTACATTCAAGCCTGCAAGAAAAGTTACCTCTTGGACATGTGGACCCAAATTCTTCTTACAATTTAATTGCTTTAGTCCCAATCTCTCTCCTACTAGAAAGGGACAGGTTTTACTGTCACTACCTGAAGAGGATTCAGGGTTCAAACATCCAAAAATTGAATTTTGTTGTTCCCTTTGAAACACTTGTAGCAACATACACACTCACACTCGTACACACACAGACACACACAGATACACACAAACACACACACACACACAAACACACCCGAAACAACACCTTTGTGCAGAAAGGTAATAACAGATTTATTACATTATTATGGCAAGCATTATGCTAATATAATATGGATCTATGCTACTTGCACTTGCAAACATACATGAAAGTGTATAATACAATTATCAAGAATTCCTGCAACAGTTACTTCAGCATTACATACATGTAGCATGCTAGGCTACGTGACTGTATATACAAAACTATGTGTGCACTGAGTATAGGAGGAAGTTCTTACCCCTGGGGAATATCCCCGGGTCCATGAAGGTTGCCAGGAAGAAGTTGGCCAGCACATACAGGAAGATGATACCCTGGTAGATGGGGATACCGATGGAATACTCCAACGTTAAGTATTTACACCTGAAACAAAACAAAAACACATTTACATCTTATTGTTATGAGTACATGTACTATCTTTTATAGTGTTTTTTTAGTTCATGTTGACTAGATGTTGATATAACACTCCAGACGTCCAGTGTAAGTATTCACATCTGAAACAGAAGACCACATCTGAAACAGAAGACAACATTAGTTATTGGTTATTCTAATAACCAACCACTTTTTTCATTATTCACCACTTATGATGTTACGGCCTGATAACCAGTGGGAAATGGAGGCTTCTCATTGGTCAACGTTGCCTGACTATATGATATAATATTAATAATGCACGGTAAATTGTATTTTCTACTGCCTTGTCCACAGATACATCTTTATACTGTATTTAGGAAACCTATCTAATCTAATATCATACGGTGTCAATGTCTGAAGGGAAGAAGTGCTAGACCATTTCATTACAGCACAGATGCCATAAAAAGGACATTAAACGAATCTAATGGTCTGCATGTATTATTTATGCTGGGGAAAATGAGGTATTCTCCAGTGAGCAGGTTATGTATTGGCACCTCTGAAGCCAGCAGAACGACTTTCTGCAGCAAACTAAATTGAAAAAGGAGGCTACAAGACAGCATACAAAATATAAAATCATATTTATAGGTGGGGTAAAACCAAACAGTTTTAACAATGCTGTCATTGACATTGTTTATGTGCAATTATGGGGTGTGTTACTTGGGCCCAAACAACTTTACTTTTGAACATATTACCAAGCTCTCAGTGTTGGAAATTTAGTGCAGATCGTGGTGGCAAAATGATGGTTAACTAAAGGATGCAAGCCATTAGACACAGTATGGTTTATAACAATACTAACCTTAATTGCTATACGACACATAGAATAAATCTACAGAACACTTTAGTACTATAATCACAGCAGAAAACAACTATTTTTACCACTTGAAGAGAAATGACTGAGGAGGGAGACAAAAAATCAATCTGGGCAAGTCCGGAAAGGGTTGATTACATGATGCCAATATCCACAGACCGCAATCTCTCTCCAACCCTGTCCACTTACAGGCAGTTTGGGGCAGGTAATGTTCACATAAAATGGGGCTTTCGCTCTTTTTTGGTCCAGCTCCAAATCTTTCTTTATTGAGAAGAAGAAACTACTATGAAAATAAGTTTGAGCTGTTAGAAAAACTTGTAGCCTGGGTACAAAATCGAGCATTGCGTAGCGAAAATCCGGATGGTACCCAGGCTAAAAAACTTGCTCTTCCATCAAACAGTTTTAGACTGAAGGGCTTTGTTATCAAATTTTTATGGTAAATACTATAAATTCATTTAGTTTTGCTAGGACATAATTTTTTTTGGGGGGGGGGTCAAGGAGTTTTAAGCAATTGAAGCAATTCTGTGATAAAGTTGTATGATACATTGAAAATGCATTCACTGTGTCACTGCAAAAAGTGAAAAACTATTGCAAACATTTCAAAATTTACCAAAGTCTGTTATTGTATTTTTGTATGGATAAAATTGTATATTTCTACGTTCATCTATATCATTGTTATTTATATATTTTTCATTCTATATTTATATATTAATCATATGGTAGACTACGACTCCAATTGGACAGTGATCAATATGGTCATTAAAAATAATCTGGAAAAGATTGTTTTATCTATCATTCTTTCAGTTACTCATTAATTCTATCTGCCATTTGGCCCAAATAAATCCTTAACATTTATCATCAAAATTTTATCTTAATCTAAAACACTTTGTGGGTGCTATGTGATATTTTGCTATTATCAGAGGATGGAATGATATCATTCTTTCCGGATGTATGTAATTCTCAATTCAATATGGCAGAAACTACATTTTGTACTCTCAACTACAAGAAAAAGCCCACATATATATAAATAATAAACGTATCAATCAAGTAAACCACACTCGCTTTTTAGGAATACTTATAGATGAAAAACTTAATTGGAAGATACATATAGATTTGATTTGCAATAAGATTCATAAGAACATAGGCATCATTAGAAAAATAAAGACCCTCCTCCCACGAAGAATATTTATAACATTATACTACAGTCTAATATATCCGTATCTATCATACTGCAATTTCATTTGGGCGAGCACTTACACAACATCAATTAAACCACTCTATCAACTGCAAAAACACTTTGTTAGAATTGCAGCTAATACACACTTCACAGCACACTCAGCACCTCTGTTTCGTGAACTAAAAATCATAAATGTATATGACTTAAACAAATTACAAATAGCCATTTTTGTTCATAAAATCGTTCATAATACCAATAGTTTACCAGATCAATTCAACACTTTTTTTACATTCAACTCAGACATTCACCAGCACAATACGAGACAACATAACCATTTAAGGCCGATCAAGACTAAATCTACACAAAAACAATTCTCAATAGCATATAGAGGCCCCATCGTCTGGAATAAGTTAAGCCAACTGTTACAAAACTGTCAGTCAACTCCTGTATTTAAAAAACTTCTTAAAAACTTTTTCCTACAAAATCCCAGTACATCCACAATCTGATTTGTTTGTTTTCCTTGTTATTGTTAATATTTTGTTTTAATTCTTATGTTAATTATTTAATCAGTTTAATCTGTAAAATCTACCTGAATTACAGGTATAAGACTTTTGTTTAATTTCGTTTTAGTTAGTTTATACACCTCAGTTATTATTTCTGTGTCTTGATTTTGTTTAATTACTCATTGTTTAATCATTTCATTGTTTAATTTTGATGTTTCATTTAAATATGTTTTGTCATAAGTTATCTTTGCTTGGGGTAGGCCTCTAGAAAAACCACCCAGGTTTCTGGCCTACCCCGCACATTCTTTGATTATTATTATTTGATTGTGTAATTGTTTTTAATATACGTGCAAATGGTAAATAAACAATAAACAAATAAACAAATATCTTGTTTTATGCAGGTGCCAATTTGAACTTTGTTCTTTTGTCTCATCATTGATTTATGATCATTCTAACTATAATTTCTAATGATTATTGAGTAATGTGCCTTTCCCTTGTGACCTAAGTTCAGTTGCTGCTATAAGAACTACAGGGAATACAAAACAGCACATGGCCATAACACACAGCTACAGATAATGTAGTACACATCATGTCTTTTGAAGAGGCACTGGCCGTATGTTACCACTACTCCCTCACGGCTAAACAACCTTTCCTTACAACGTGGAGGGATTCAAACGCTAATTGCGCCGTCTCAATAGGGATATCCAGCAATATCATGCCCAGAGTTATTATCTGCCATTGCCTGGATCATTTTATATCCATTTATGGGCAACAGCTTGGACTTGAAAGCACGGCGCTTCTATTTTCCGATCTGCAACACAATAGCCCATTTAGCGGCTGGTGAGGTAATGCGGTGTCGCCGTGTGTTGCCGGCAATCGATGGCCGGCTGATGCGTACACGCAATTATTCCCGTAGAAACCTGTCCCCCATGCCCCGTAGGTCCATTGTACGCCAGTGTTGAGGGCTCCTCTGGCGGTTTATTAAGCAACACTTCACATGATTCTGTCGCGTTTAATGACTGCTATAGCAGGCTGAAATGCTCTTAACGAATCGCGGACAACGATTTACCACTAAACTCATCGCAGTATCTGACAAGACAGATCTACACGATAAAATGACCATGACCCAAATATTGATATTCACGATATCCGAGTCAAGATTGTAGATAACATTCGATTCCTGCTTTTAAATGTCATAATTAACATTTATAAGACTGGGAAAAATGATTATATAATTACCACTGTATGCAAGGATTTGAGAGCATCTGGGTACATGTAAGAGTTAATTACGTATGAATGCAGAGCAGTAAACTGTAGCCAACTGTTTGTTATAATAATGCTTGCCTCTAAAGCTCTATAGCTAGCTGGGGAAACTACTTGTATAACTTGTATCACTCACAGTTCAGTTCAGTTCAAAATCCCCTTTTGAACCTTTTTTTAACAGAACACGTACAGAACATAATAGTTGTCTGTTATTTCTCTGATACGAACAGCCGAAATTGAGCTTTCAATGAATCGAAATACATCAAGATTTCCTTTCCCATTTTCCAGCTGTACAGTGATATGCTCGGAGACTAAAAACTGTTCTGATGTCTGCCGGCTACATAATAGCTTTGCAATCAATAACCTACACCTTTATCCACTTGACCTTCAGCAATAGGGGATGACTGGCAGCTACGCAGACCGTACCGGCGTCCAATTTCCTTCTGACAGATTATTTTGGAGTACTGCTCATTTCCAAACAGAGAAGCCTTCTGTAAGTGGAGTCCTGGACTGTATGATGTATGATATCAAGTCAAAGGAGAGTTATGGTCTGGTAGCGAGCAATCCCGTGTTCTGGACAGCAAGGTCGCGGGTTTGAATCCCAGCCAAGCCGTCGGTGTACAGAACGCCAATTTGCACCTTAATGGCCATTTATCATTACTGCCATTTATTAATGGTCATATATATCATAGACTTTTACACTTTACTTAAATGTCATAATCTACTTTATCAAGTCTATAGATTGCCAGTATTAGACATCTTCCATGTATTGCCGTATCAGACTCTATTTTGGCAAATGACATTAGTACAGATTTATTTATTGTAGATTTTGTAGATTGAACATGAAGTTCCTAACCTGTAGACATTCCTGCAGTATGCAATTTGGAGATAAAACTTGATGTCTAAATGTCTGATGAGATAAGAGTACAAGCGAGACAAGGGGAATAGTGAACAAAAACAATATGTTTCCCTTTGCCCTATACAGGGAGGAGGGAGTGAAATATAAAATCAAGTGATATTACCAAAGATGTGGAACTACATGTACTTCTCATATTGTGTATTTCTATTGTCCCAGAACTACCTGAAAATCAGGTCAAATGATCTGTGTGTAAGCTTCTGGTAAAATAAATAAACTGAAACTGAATGTACATTTGTACATGGCCATGTACATTACTATGACATAGCATACCATAAGAGTATA